AAGGAAGAATCATGAATTCTCTCAATGTATCACAAAACCAGTCTTTAGTGCCAATTTTCAATGGAGAGAACTACGAGTTCTGGAGCATTAAGATGAAGACTTTTTTCATCTCACAAGACCTATGGGAGCTTGTTGAATCTGGCTATGTAGATACAGCAGCTGAGGTGAGGGAGCTTCGTAAGAAGGATGCGAAGGCCCTGCTTGTTTTACAACAAGCTGTGACGGAGGCTATTTTTCCCCGTCTTGCAAATGCTGCCAAATCGAAGGATGCATGGGAAATTTTGAGGCAGGAGTTCCATGGAGATAGCAAGGTAACGATGGTGAAACTCCAAATGTTTCGTCGGGAATTCGAAACACTCCTTATGAAAGGTAATGAATCGGTGCAAGATTACATTACTAGAGTGTCTATCATAGTAAATCAAATGAAAACATTTGGTGAGAATATTTCTGATCAAAAAGTAGTCGAGAAGATTTTACGAAGTCTTCCTTCTAAGTGGGATCATGTAGTTACTGCTATTGAAGAATCTAAGGATATGAATACTTATTCTTTGAATGATTTAATGGGGTCTCTTTTAGCACATGAAGGTAGGATGAACAGGGCTGAAAATAAGAATCTGGAACAGGCATTTCAGTCGAATGTGGATCTTTCCAAAGAAAAATTTGGTGAAGGTGGTTCTGGATATACAGGAAGAGGCCGAGGCACTTATTGTGGTCGTGGTCGTGGTCGTGGACGAGGATACAACCAAGCTGGTCGGGGTTATCAAAATAGTGGTAGAGGCAACAAAAGGCAGGACCATCAAGACAAGCAATGCTATTCGTGTAAGCAATATGGGCAAATTTCACCAAATTGCCCAAATAAGGCTCAGCAGAAAGCCAACTTTGCTAAAGCAGAACAAGAGGAAGGTAACCTGTTTCTTACATGCCTAGAGTCAAAAGCAAGTATGGGTGATATGTGGCTCTTGGACAGCGGCTGTAGTAACCATATGACAGGGGAGAAAAGTCTCTTCCGTAGCATAGACGAATCTGCAAAATCAAAAGTTCGACTGGGTGATAACAAGCAACTCCAAATTGAAGGCAAGGGAACTATTGGAGCTAAATTCAAATCAGGTATTAAACGATCTATTCATGACGTTTATTATTCTCCTGATTTAGCCCACAATTTGTTAAGTGTCGGTCAATTAGTTGAAAAAGGATATTCAATGTTGTTTGAAAATAATATGTGCGAAATTAAAAGAAAAGGGGTATCCGATAAACCTCTCGTTCGGATTCCCATGACTAAGAATAGGATGTTTCCCCTTGATCTTTCGTGTTTGAATGAGTGTGCATTGGTTGCTAATGATAAAGACGATTCTAGACTTTGGCATTTATGATACGGTCACTTGAATTTTAATGGGCTGAAGTTGTTAAATCAGAAGCATATGGTGTTTGGTTTGCCCTCAATCCAATGCATTGATGAAGTCTGTGAAGGCTGCATTTATGGGAAGCAACATAGGTTACCATTTCCTGTCGGCAAAGCTTGGAGAGCCAAGAAGCCTCTTGAAATTGTTCATGCTGATATATGTGGCCCAACAAGGACCTTATCCTTCAATAAGAGTAGATATTTTTTACTCTTTACGGATGATTATACTCGTATGAGTTGGGTGTATTTTCTTTCTTACAAATCAGAAGCTTATGAAAAGTTTCAGGAGTTCAAAGCTTTTGCGGAAAAGGAAAGTGGGCAGGTCATAAAAGTTCTTCGCACTGATAGAGGGGGAGAGTTCTTATCCAATGAGTTCACCTATTTTTGCAAGAAAAATGGGATTCAAAGACAGCTAACAGTGAGAAAATCCCCAGAACAGAATGGTGTTGCCGAAAGGAAGAACCGAACGGTGGTGGAGATGGCTAGAAGCATGCTAAATGAGAAAGGACTGCCCAATGAATTCTGGGCTGAAGCAGTAGCTACATCCGTATTTCTTCTCAACATATCTCCAACTAAGGTTGTCCGAAACATGACTCCCTATGAAGCATGGTGGAACCGAAAACCCAATGTAAGTCATCTAAAGATTTTTGGTAGCATTGCTTATTCTCTGATTGATTCTAATGACCGTTCTAAGCTTGATAAAAAGAGCGAGAAATGTATCTTTGTTGGGTATAGCGGTGAAACCAAGGGTTATCGGTTGTATAATCCAGAAAATGGGAAGCTCATTATTCGCCGAGATGTTGTATTCGATGAAAATAGTTTCTGGAACTGGAAAGAAGAACAAAATCAGCAAGTGCCTTTTGAGGATATAGTCGAGCCGACACAAGCAACAGAGAATCAAGTGTCACCACAGAGTTCTCCATCATCAAACTCATCGGGAAGGTCTACTTCAAGAGAATTAAATAATGAAGGCAGCGACAACTCAGATTCTGCACCTGATTCTGATACCCCTCCTCGTAAGTATCGATCTTTAGCAGAAATTTATGAATCATGCACTTTTGCTTTGTTAAGTGCAGAACCTGTTAACTATGAAGAAGCACAAGGGAAAGAAGAATGGGAGCACTCTATGCAAGAGGAAATTATTGCAATCGAAAAAAATGGCACGTGGGAGTTAGTAGACTTGCCATGTGAGAAGAAAGTGATTGGCGTCAAATGGATTTACAAGGTCAAATGCAATCCAGACGGAACCGTGCAAAAGTATAAAGCAAGGCTCGTTGCCAAGGGGTATGTGCAACAACAAGGTACTGATTTTATTGAGAACTTTTCTCCAGTAGCAAGATTTGAGACGGTTCGAATTGTTTTGGCTGTAGCTGCTCAACATAAATGGCCTGTATTTCAGTTTGATGTTAAGTCTGCATTTCTAAATGGTTTTTTGGAAGAGGATGTGTATGTGGCACAACCACAGGGGTTTATAGTCAAAGGTCAAGAGGAGAAAGTTTACAAGCTTAAGAAGGCATTGTACGGACTCAAGCAAGCTCCAAGAGCTTGGTATAGCAGATTGGATACTTATCTTCATCAAAATGGGTATCATAGAAGTGATAGTGAGCCGACATTGTATGTGAAGGTGACATGTACTGGTGATATTCTCATTATATGTGTTTATGTAGATGATATTATATATACATCATCTTCTAACACTCTTGTCAAGGAATTCAAGGTCAGCATGATGCGGGAATTCGACATGTCAGATTTGGGGTCTTTGCATTACTTTCTTGGCATCCAAGTTCAGCAAACAGATGAAGGAATTTTTATTTGCCAAGAAAAGTATGCACGGGAATTGCTGAAGAAGTTTAATATGATGGGTTGTAAAACCTCGTCTACTCCCATGAACCCAAATGAGAAGCTATGTGCGGAAGATGGGACTGCAAGGGCCAATGAAAGAATGTTCAGGAGCATAATTGGCGGACTGATGTACTTAACCAACACCCGCCCAGATATAATGTTTTCTGTGAGTCTACTGTCCAGATTCATGCATACACCAACCATGCATCATCTCGGAACAGCAAAGAGAATCCTTCGCTATGTACGGGAAACTAGCGATTATGGGATTTGGTACAAACCAGCTGCTGAATTCAGTTTAATTGGTTTTACTGATAGTGATTGGGCAGGTTTTGCGGATGATAGGAAAAGCACGAGTGGGTTTATATTCACTCTTGGCTCGGGGGCTGTGTCATGGTCTTCAAAGAAACAAGAAAGTGTTGCATTATCATCTTCAGAGGCAGAATACATAGCAGCCTCATCTGCAACGTGTCAATCAATTTGGATGCGGCGAATTTTGGAGGATTTACATCAAGTTCAAGGAGCAACCACAAAGATTTATTGTGACAACAAGGCCACCATCTCTATGACTAAGAACCCGGTCTTTCATGGGAGAACAAAGCACATTGAACTCCGACACCATTTCATTCGAGAAGCTGTTGCTAAAGGCATGGTAATGATGGAGCATTGCTCAACCAATGACCAAAGTGCAGATGGGTTTACGAAGGGACTCTCATATTCGAAGTTCGTGAAGTTTCGGTCCTCACTCAATGTTTCCAGTTTCGCATCAAAGGGGAGTGATAAGAATTGATGCAGAACGTGATTAATTAAGTTAGCAGAATTATGTTGATTTAGTCTTTAACTGTTAACTAGAAAGTAGGAGAGGAGTTGCAGAAGACTTAGTCTGTAGTAGTTGCTTTTATTTAGGAATTAGTTGCTACTTTATAGGCATTGTGGTTATGGTTTTAGGTTATAAATAAAGGGTGTAATCAGCCGTTTAATGATATGAGAATTGCAGAGTATTTCTTCCATTTTGAATTGATAAAGCTGTAGCTTTTTTTCTTCTCTCTGTTTTTTACTCTGTATTCAAACTCTTGGTGCCTTTGTCTCTCTTATTTCCAACACTGGTATCGCTGGTTTGAGTGGGCTGTCGATGGAGGGGGTGGGGTGGAGTGAAGGCAGTTGGTCTGGAGTGGAGTTGTCACTAGAAGGCTCCTGGGTTGCCGGGGTTTATTGGGTTTGTGAGTTGCTGCTGGGTTGGGTCGCTGGCTGGGTGGGTTTGCTACTGGGTGAGGGTCGCTGGGTTGGATGTGGCTGGTTTGACTGGCTGGTTTCGTTGGTTTGAGTGGGCTGTCGGTGGAGTGGGTGGGGTGGATTGAAGGTAGTATGTCGGTGCTGTTTGGCTTAGGTGAGGAGTGGCTGTGAGTTGTTGTTTGTTGTAAGGTCTCGCTGTGAGTTGCTGCTGGGGTGGCAGCTGGGTGTGTATCAATGGGCAGTGATGGTGGCAGCTGGATGAGAAGTTGCAGGCTGTTTCTGATGATTAATTAAGGTGGAGGCTAGGGTTAGGTTTAGGAGTGTGGTTTGGCACTGACATTAACTAGAGATATGTGTGAGTAATAGAGATACTCAAACTAAGAGTAGAATCTTGTATATATAACCAAATAATAGTATAAAGTGACTTAAATATCTTTATAATTTAGGTAAAATATAAAAGTCATAGTAAAAGTAAAAAAGAAAAAAAAAAAACCTTAATAAACTAGACTATATTCCAACAAGTTTAAAGTCAGAAAAATTTAGAAATTAACAAAGCTATTAGCAACAAAACCAACCAAATGGTGACCAAAAGGGAAATCCAGCTCCCAAGTCCACCATTTCTTTCCTCATATAAATCATCGCTCCAAGCCAAAGCCTCTCTACTGCACTTCTTTAATTCCCTTGGATTCACTGCACCATTTCTTTCTTTTTCTGCCTGTTTGATGTGAGATATAATGTGAGGAAAAACTCTCTTACAAGACTCTTCTCCAACCAATAAATCCGAGTGCCCAAAACCTTCCACAACCACCCATTCATGTCTAAAAGCAGGCTGGTGCAACTTCATGTACTTGTTGGCCAGAAAAGAAGTCTGAGGAGTCACAAGGAGAGTCCGTCCACCGGATATATAAAGCGTTGGCAGCGCCATTCTCTCGGGATGGATCAGATACGAATTCTTGCCATTGCTGTCAACGATGAAACCTGAGTTGCAGATTTTTCTGAGGTGAGGAAATGCTGCCATGGGAAGCCTTGATAAGCTTTGTTTGTTCAATCAGTAGTGCACTGTGGGGCTTATATTATTGTGCCAAAATGGGTTACCCAATATGCCTGAGAAGACCTCACATTCATCACAGGCACATCTCTCGTAGCGTGGCAGGAAACGGGCTATTGATTTGAGGAGCTGGGGTTGAAAACTGGCCTTCAATGTTTGGAAGAGAGGCAGGGACTTGTTCTTGCCTAATATCACCATAGACATCTGCAAGTTCATTGAAGTTAAAACATAGCACAAAATAGAGAAAAAAGAATCAAGTGTGTTCCTAAAGGATAAAAAATGATGTCAAAACTCTACTGTTGTCTTGTTGGATTTAAATTTAGGTGACTAACCTGATTTATGGTATGTATATTTGTACGTTTTTTGAATTAGTTGTCAAAATGTTGGATTATTGTTGACAGGATATTGTTCCATTCGAAGGGTTGCAGCTAAATATGTGGAGAAGGGCAAAGAATTGATTACCGGGATGAGCGGAAGCCACATTTACAATCGATAAAGCAGTGAGCTTGAAGAACATTGAAGAGTTGGTGCAAGATAAAGAAGCTATTTGGCTGGCAGAGACATGTCCTCCCATCAGAGCAATGTGAATGGAAAGGCCTCCAACACAATGTGCAATCACATGTACTTTTGTCAATGCCCCGTGCAACTCAAGGATCTTATTGATGGCTTCAGAAAAGAAAATGTGAATAAGGATTTACACCAAAAGAAGCTGCATAAATGTCTAAATTGATATTGATTTCGCTTTTAAACATATTTACCAGCAGGTATATCAAATCTGCCTATATCTTTGATTGTGAAGTGAATTGAAGAATTCGATGGGTGAAATCTTGGTTGCAGTAGCCATATCTCATGCCCTTCTTCTAGTAAAGTCCTAACCAGATCATTTGGTTCAGTTTGCAGCCAATAATTCTCAATTGAGTACCCGTTAATGAGGAGGATTGGATATGGTCCACTCACTCCTTCAAGCCTCCATGGTCTCTGACTACACTTCCACTGTTTGCAACTTATGATAAATCCATCTTCTGCATAATTTGATGGAATCACTAAAAATTGAGAACTTCAATGCTACAGTAGAAAATATAAGGGAAGGGAAGATGCTCTTTGCTCCATTAAAGTCTTTTGCACTAATTGAGTTCATTTGAGCATATAATTGAGGCACGAAAGCTTAGAGAAATCGCCAAGAAATTCATCTAAAGTGTGGGTTATTTTCATTCAGCTCATAGTCCATTAATGAATGGTTTAGAAGGATTTTCTGTTTGACAATCACATATATTGTAGACTCTCGATTGATTTTCTCTACTGCATTATACATGGGGTGTCTGCAACCTAAGTAGAAGTCAAGCCACTTTTAAGTGGAATTGAAATTAAGCTATCAAACCACGAAATTCTGTTCTAATACCTGTTTTGATCTCGTGGAGAGCACTACACGGATAAGGTCTTTCAGAGACTTCTGATGTGATAAAGTACTTGCAACTTCCTCGAGGTATTTGCAAGACATAGGTTCTGAAGAGAGATTGCAATAGAAGGCCTACAAACTTTCCTCTGCTATTCCCTTTCAGACTCATAACAATTTTTAGAAGCTCTATCACGGAAATGTGAAGCTTCCCTTTTAAGTTCACCATTTCTTCCCTTGGAGTGTTCTTGGTAACTTTGCTGAAGGTTACATGCAATGTTGTTGATTCTTTCCACCCATTTAATGCAAGCAAAATGGATTCATTATCTTCTTCCCTTCGAGAATATATCTGCATCAATGACCAGTTTTTGTTATTATTGTCACAGCTACCATTTGGTAACTTAAGCAAAATAAAAAGAACAATTTCCTCATCGCTATAGAGTAAAATTGATCTGTATGGATCTTCGTATATAAATAATATACTTATACATGTGCATATGTTTTCTACTACATATGCGATTATACTTGAAAGAATAAAGTAAGCTTGGACAAGAAAAAAAATTAGAGAAAAACAAACGTATAAAAACGAACGCTACTTCAAAAAAGTACTTCAAAGCAAAAACACAAGAAAATACATAAAAAAGCATTACCAAACGACACTAAGAAAGAAGGAGCACAAAATTAATAAAGCTTTGAACCATATCAAACCTTGCACCAGAAGACGCTCCAAGGAGAAGATGGTAGTGCATATATTGTGTATAAAGAGTTCTGATATCAACTTCACATAAATCTACTTCCCCCTCTATGATATGTAAATTATCCTTTTCTACTCCTCCGATTTCAACATAGCCACCAACTTTTCCTCGTAGAAGAGGGTAAGGTTTTCCAATGTCCATACTCATTTTATCAGAATCTCTGGATGTTCTGCAATTCAATTTCAGTATGAGAGAAGCTGTGCATGGCATGCCCCCCATATGCCCCCTCATGGTTTCTTTAACCACAACCACTGATCTCTGGCTGCTAATGAACTTCCCAGAGATGATTGAACCCAGTTTTTGATCCAAAGTTGCATTGGCAAATTCTGTACCTTCTTTAGTTTTGAACTTGAGAACATCCTGCACAAGGTGCCTACTTACATGCTCAGCAGCTGTAGCAATAGTCAGACACGGATTTACGCAAATAGAACAAGGAATCAACGAGGCATCACAAACATAGAGGCCATCATGAAATGTGGTAGGAGATTTCATGTCAAAAACTTGCCCGTTGGGATTACAAACACCCCCCCGAAGGATCTGAAGATGCATTGCAGCCACCTAAAAGATGAACTGATGTGCTCCGATGCTTTGACATGAACAGAATTCCTCCCAATTTCTTTGTGAGTTTCTGAAAGGCGTCGATTTTTCTTGGCAATAAAGGATCATGGGGTGGCTGGAAGCCAATAGTACTTGTGTTTTTATCAAAAATTATCTTTCCATCACTGTCGTCATATCCCATTGCATTCAGAACCATTGCTTGGCGCTTTGAACCAAAAGCATGTTTAAGATTGTCTATGATCCCGTGAAAAAGCCAGTAGCCAGGTGGCCAACCATAAGTCCCAATCCCTTTGAATAACAGGTATGGATAAGCAGTTGGAAGTACTGCACCCTGCGCCAATACGAAAATAATCAGCATCGGAAATTCCATCTTGTAATACTAGGGTGCATCAGTATAATCATATGTTCAAAAAATTTTATCTAGAAAGTTCTAAATAACTAAATATGTCCAAAATCAAGAAGCATAAAAAGTGTTTATCTAGATACAGATTAGTTAATCTGTAAAGGCTTTCATATTGTATATCCAAGATTACAGAACCAGAAACTCACCACGCACATTGCACTTTTTGAACTGAAACTCATCCCGACACAAATTGAGTGGTCGGAACGCAATATTCACATAGTAGGAAAGAAAATTCAAGTCCTTAGACAAAGTAAGGGCCCCAACCTGAATAGTAAAACCCAAGGAAGAGGTGTATGATGAAGAAATGGCTGGTCCCGGACGCTGTTGAAAAGGCATTTTTGAAAATTGATTACTGTTTAAGCCAAAAGCATTTAAGGGAGCTGAGCTTCCTGCAAGATAAGCAACAGCATTGCCATTGCAGCTCAGCCCTGATCCAAGCCTCTCTGAAATTTTCAATCCCCTCATCTGCGACCGAAATAGTATATTAGATGTTCCAAACACTCCAGCTGCAAAATGGAATCAAAGAAGTTAAGTTCCGACTCCAAAACCATTGACACCTAAAATTTGAATCGATTACTAAAATCGCAGTTTGAATCTACACTTTTCTATGTAAAAGAGTATTTACAAAACAGGCTTTTGATAGTTTTTTAAAATAAGTTTTCATAATAAGGCAGTTTTATGTAAATAGTGAAAGATTGAGATACAAGTTAGGAATCGCGATACAAGAGGAATGAAATTACAAACTAGTGGTAACTTGATTAAAAACTTCCTAAAATTCAGAAGAAAAAAAAATAATCCTTGAATTTGCTTATGCTATATAATACCCGAGAGGACAACAAAATCAGATGTTACGTAGTCAGTTTCATTGAGAAATACGAGCCACAGATGCCTTCTTTTTCTACATATTTTCTCTTTTTCTTTGCAGGTGTCATCTGGGTTTCTTACCCCATATTGAACTTGACATTCTGTTTTGATAGTACATCCTGCCTGCATCATGAGAAATCCAATCTTTGTTATTTTAAACATCAGCACTTGATCATTTACTCTGATTGATACACTACATTATACAGGATGGATTACAAGTGTAGAAAAGTTTATGGTACCAAATTCGTAAACGTTATAGATTCTAAAAAAGTTATGACTCAATCAAATCAAATTACGATTCAAATAAGTATAAATTATGGCTCATTGGTTCAAAAAAATTGTGATAAAAGATCAGTTCGTTTATTTATCAAGTGAACCAAACTACAACTCAATTTAAAGAGTAAATTATACTTTATTCCATAAACTATTACCCTTATTTCACTTTGTACCCTTAACTATAAAATTTCTCACATTTCACCTTAAAGTATCAATTTTGTTTTTTATCACTCAAATAGATAATGACAAACTTGAAAATCTATCAAATAAGGGAAGGAAACCCCAAAGAGTTTTTTGCTAAATGCGTAATACCACTTTATTTTATCTCCTTTGCAACCAAATGGTTGTTGGGAAGAAAAAAAAGCCAGCAAAAGGAAGAAATTTAGAGCTTAGGAAGGACAAAATCAGGGATATTTTTCTTGATTTTTGACTCGTACACAGTTGCTTATTGGTAGTACAAACCACTCATGTGTGCATTTACCATTCAAAAATTGATAGTCGTTATCTATTGGAATGATATGAAACAAAATTGATGCTTTAAGGTGTAATGTGAAAAATTTTATAGTTGATGATACAAAGCGAAATAAAGGCAATATGTAATTTACCCCAATTTAAAACTTGTTTAATAAATAAGCCTGATCAATGAACCAGCCACCAGGTTTGATCTCTCTTACATACAAGCCCGTGTTCGGTTCATTTAAACAAACTGAGTTAAACTTAGCCCAATCTTGGATTCAATTAGTGATATGAACTTAAACAAGATGTTTGAAACTCGTCACAAACCCATTTGAGATTTGTCACCACACGTAAAGCATAGATGATTTCTAACCTTAGACAAGAACAAGTAGATATGAAACGTACCTGGAGAGCTGAGACAAGATAAGTTTTGTCTGTAGAGAGTTTTGCATTATAAGGACAGCCAGCCAGACAATTTCCACAGGCTAAGCAGCTTCCAATGTCTTTGGACTTGCTGATCTGATCATGTGGCTGTTCTTCTTCTATATCAAAGTTCACACCCAGCGTTAGTGAACTTTGGCTAGTTGCTTCATACTGATCTTCTTCGGTCACTTCCTCCATGATCTTGGCATTGGGGAACTTGTTTGAATTCTCATCACAGCTGAAGCTGATGCCTCGCAGACCTCCCAATCTCTCTCCCATTCCTTTGGCCATTTGGGGTTCCTTCTTGCCCGAACCGGGGTTGGTAGCATGTGCGTGCTAGATCTTGCACAATATAAACACGAGAACAGATCTCTCCCTTGGTGAATTCGAGTGAGTCAGTCGAGTGGTCAACCCTACTGCTTGGAACAGCCTGTGAGGTCCGGTGGTAACCTGGAACGACAATGGAAGACCCTCGTGGATCAACGGAACGATCCAGTAAGAATGGGGAAGGTTCCTGGAACAAAGAAAGACAAGTTAGAAGGGCGCCGGAGTGTTTTCTGGCGTATCCCCTTCGACGATCAAGTCAATTTTTGAGAGAGAGGAAGAAGAAAACATTGAGTATATGTTTGAGAAAAGGTTTCACCTCCTTTTCTTGCCTTTTGTGAGGTGTATTTATACCTCAAATACTCATGATTGCTGTCAGTGTGATCAGTAGGTAATCATTAGATACGGGCAACATGCACACTGATTTCTATGAGGAATGTCTTCTCTTTTAACTGCTCGGGACCCTGAGCAACCAAAGCTGTGTCATCGGCCTGCCGACTGTTTAATGAGCTCCTCTCGGCAAAGATGTAATAAATGCCCAACCTTAGGAACATTTATTATCTTTCACTTCCGAGCCTTACCGCATTAAATGCTGTCTCATCAAGGAAATGGTGTAATTAAATGCTTGCTTTCCCAAGTTGCGTGTCAGCAAGGGCATCCGGTCTTTTTGTCTCTAATGTGACACAATATGTTATGCGTCCATTCCCCATTGGTTGTGTCCCCTTCCTTCTTGTGCCTTCTAACACCAATTGTGTAAGACGAGGTCATGATGACTAACCTAGCCTAGCCTATGCTAGTGACCTGTACATCAATAGCCTCTGCAGGAGCAGAGAACGCCATCCTGAACAGGTACATCTCGGTACCGAGGGGGGAGTGGTACATGTAGGGACCGATGTACCCCCTATCGACCCCGAGGGATACGTATCGTATGTATGTAAGGTACTGGATGTCATTGATCCCTATAAATAGTACCTCGGGGGAACAGGGACCTGTGATCCGACGGGTACGTGTCGTGTTTATAGAAAAAGAATTTACTGATGCCGAAGACACGTGTCTTCATCTTGGAGTACTTGAAAATGTCCCATCAACTACCCCTAGCCTTCGATCTCCTGACACCGAGGACAGGCGTCGTAAGGAGACGAAGGGTTCTGCAACTACCCCAACTACTTCATCATTGCCTTCAGCCGCTTTCCCCTGCTTCGGAAGTCGTGTGCATTAAATGCGTCTCTTCGTGCCCAAATGATGGGGATGAGTACTATATAAATGGGTTTCCTCTCTCCCCTTCTCACTTTGCCTTTTCAGAGAGCTATCGCCTGAAACCTCGCCAGAGATCTCTTTCCTTTCGTCGTCTACTGTCCAATCTTTCACCGAAGTCTTAAGGCCAGCAGACTCATCCTTGCTTTTGAACGTTCTAGAGGAAGGAGTCGCTTCAAGTTTCAAGAAAAAACTTCCTTTTACGTTCTGGTGAGTCCTTGTATCTTCCCTTTCTTTGCCCTCCGTCTATTTTCTTCTTATCGTTTTTTTTTATTCCTTTTGGTTTTTCGATAACTGGAGGCGTTTTTGGTTGCTACTCAGTGACCAATCCTCAGGAAGCCTCCTTGGGGATCTTCGTGAAAAAACCCCCTCCTTAAATCACTTTTTATCACCTTTTTGGAGATGTCCCGTCGTCGCCCTGCCCCCGAGAATCCTCAGGCCAGTTCTTCGAGGCCAGGAAAGTATAAAGTAAAAGGGGGCTAGCAAATTAATAGTTTTAGGGTCAAGTACAACATCCCCCCATATATAGACATAAAGGATTATGACTCGACTGTGCATTCCCGTACCCCCGGGGCTGAGGATGAGATGCCCCTTTTATACCAAAGTCATCATAGAGGACGGAATTAGGTTCCCTTTGCCCCCTCTACTCCTCCAGTTCCTCTCCCATTTCCACCTCTTCCCCAGGCAGTGTTGCCTTAATGTCTTCAAAATAATTATGGGAGTCCTAGAGCTCAATAAGCGTCTCAGGGTAAATGTTGGGCTGAACGATATCCTCTTTTACTACTCTCTCTTAAGAGTCATGCCTCAACAAAACTTCTACCTCAAAGCCAGGGACCCATCCATGTACTTCGTAACTCATCTTCTCGACTCGAACAAGGGGTACAGGATGATCTACTCATCTTCAAGGGATCTTGGCAGAGGGGTGTCGGTCTCGAGTACAACGGCTTGTTATGCCCTTTGGAATGGAGAACGAAAAGTACGTCGGCTTCTTCAGGTCTATTGTTTTGTTCTTGAGATTTTTTAGCAGAGTTCACAACTCACTCCCATCTCTTTTTGTTTGTGTGCAGACATTCCCCCTCGGGAAATAGCTCCTCCCCCTCGGTCCTTGGTGAACTTTGTCGACCTAGTCACTGTTTGGAGATTTACTGGTGATGACAGGTTCGGCCGGGCTGCCCACATCCTTCTGAATTACACTCTCGGATATAAAAAGTTTTCACAGCTTCCCCAGCCTTTTGAGCCTTCGCGATGGTCTGAACTTTTTGATCAGACAGTGAGGCAAGAGGACGAGGAGAACTTGGAGGAAGACCCCGATCGGGCTACGGAGGCAGAAGTAGAGGGTGAAGTTGAAGAGCTCGGGGTCAGAGACTTGGTTGAAGAGGACTTGGTTGAAGTTGAAGAGGACTTGGTTCCTTCGCACGCCGAGGTGGAGACTTTGGGGAGAGATTCGTGGCCTGACTTCCAAATCCTGCAATCTCTAGACACCGAGGACGCCCTCGAGATAGCTATGTCCAGCACGCCCCGCATTGATCTGGGATTCCCGCGGCAGAGGCAAGCCCTCGCTGCCGGACGGGGGCATGGGTCAACAAGCGGGCCCTCACCTACAGGGACCAGCACCACCCCACTTTCAAGGGCCATTGGTCGGGGCCAAGTGCGCGACCGAAATCCTCAGGTCGAGGTGGAGAGGAGGATTAAACAAAGACACGATGGCCTGGGCAGGGGATCCAGGGCCTCCTCCGCTCAGCAGCAAAGTGGGAGAGGCCGTGGGTTACCTCCTCCTCCATAGCAACAGCAGAGGCAACAACAGCAACAGTAGCGGGAGCAGACTCCCCCTCTCCTTCCTCAAACGGTGGAAGCCACGGAGTGGAATCCTCGGGTGACCGATCACATGAACCGAGTGATCAGGGTTGACGATTCCATTTTGCAGGACCCCCATGTTGCCAACGCAGTGAGTGAGACGCTGCACTTCGAGGCCGACATGGTTGCTCACAGGGGGAGATCAATGAATATGATGTTTCGCTCTATCATTCAGAATTCCCTGGTGGTAAGTTCATTCTTGCTTTAGTCCTTTCTAGCCGTTTCCCTTTTTATTGATATGCCCTTTCCTTTGCAGGCCACCCAACAGATTTCTATAATAGCGGTGCGGTATCATGGGGTTAGGATGGACCTCCAGCGGGCTTGAGAGCAGAAGGAAGAAGTCGAGGGAGCCTTCGCCGGTGCTAAGGAGGATGTAGCTGCCAGGGATTCCACCCTTGCGGGGCAGACTACTCAAATCGAACAACTCCTCAAGGATGCCGAGTTGGCGAAGGTCGGCGTTGAAAAGCTAAGTGCTGTCTTGGCTGACGTTGAGAGGAAGATTACAGAGCAGACACAGCGGCTCTCTGCGGTAGAGGAGAGGACTGTTGGTTCAAAGGAAAGCTGTCTAGCTTTGACCCAGGAGCTGGACAGGATCAGGGCTGAGGTAGAGAGCAGGAAGTCCGAAGAACAACTTCGAGAGGAATTCACCGATGACGTACTGTCTGCTCTTGAGGAAAATAGCAGAGAGTTCTTCAAGAGGGGGTGGGACGAGGCGCTCCGATCCGCCGGGGTCCCTCAAGACTCCCCGCTCTTCCAGATGCACAACTATGTGCAATCAGCTGAGATAGAACAGGCAGAGGCCGAGATTGCTGTCGAGGGNTTTCGTTTGAACACTCCGGGAGGTCTCCTGTTGTTAGGAACCTGAGAAAAGGATCAATCCAGCTGGGTGGCTTNAGAGGCCGAGATTGCTGTCGAGGGTGACTCCAATGCTGATGCAAGTTTTGGCAGACCTGCCCGAGGTGGTGATTCTAGTCCCATCAGAGGAGGCCTCGTCGGGCTTGGCACTTGACCACAATATTCTCGAGACTCCTGCTATCGCCAATCCGATCCTATCCCCTCTTGTGCCCGAAGCTACTCAACCTTTCTGCGCCGATTCGCCCTCCGGCGATGTTTTGGAGATGCCCGGGGCCAGATGAAGGCTTTTTTTTTGAATTGTACTTTCTTTCACTCTTGTAGCTCTAGCGGACGCAAAGCCCCTCTTTTGAAATGAAGCTTTTTTCTGAGTACTTACATTTTTTTTTTAAACCTTGATAGCTCTTAACACCTGGGGAACAATTTGGCTTGCTTACCTGATTGGTTCAGCTTCATCATTGCTAAGACCCGTACGCATCCGCGGGGTCTCACTTTTTGTGGAAGTTCGTTCCTACCTTGTATTCGGAGGCAGGAGTCCTTGAACTCTGTCCCCAAGGCCTTGCCCTATCCAAGAGACTTGCTCCTATTTTTTCTTCAGGGGCAGGAGTCTTTGAACTCCATCCCCAGGGCCTTACCCTTCTGGGAGGCTTGCTCCTATTTTTTCTTCGGGACAGGAGACCTTGAACTCTGTCCCGAAGGCCTTACCCTTCCAAGAGGCTTGCTCTTGTTTTTTCTTCGGGGGCAGGAGTCCTTGAACTCTGTCCCCAGGGCCTTACCCTTCCAGGAAACTTGCTCCTGTTTTTTCTTCGGGGGCAGGAGTCCTTGAACTCCGTCCCCAGGGTCTTACCCTTCCAAGAGGCTTGCTCCTGTTTTTTCTTTGGGGGCAGGAGTCCTTGAACTCTGTCCCTAGGGCCTTACCCTTCCAGGAGGTTTGCTCCTGTTTTTTCTTCCGGGCAGGAGTCCTTGAACTCTGTCCCCAGGGCCTTACCCTTGTTACTTAACCATTG